CTCTCATAGGGTTGCCATAAGCCAGAGGTGACTCAATGGCACATGACTACAAGTGCAAGCAAACCACAGGGACACTCTGTGCTCCAGTTGTTGGGAGAATTTGGGTAAATCCTGTCTGAAAAGCATTATTCCTGTGTGCCTTTGCATTTGTGGGATCAAATCCTGTCTTCCTTCTCAAAACCAAGCTGTCACTGTTTAAAATGGCATTCCCCCGCCCCTGGCTATGGGGCAAGAGCAGACAGAAAGAATTGGAGGTCCTCATTCAGTTAAATTCATTCACATTGTAGCTAGCTACTCTCTTTTGTAATTTACCGCTTGACAAGAAGTAGCTATTTGTTGTACTTTACTCAGGGTCTCAGACTTCCCGAAAGTAATACAAGAACTTACGATAGCCCAATTTTACATATCTAGGTAGACCTGGAGGTGGATCCATGCCTCTGGAAATTACTCCACTGATACATCAAAAATCGCCTTGTGAGATAGTGTAAACTTATTGTCTGTATGGTTGACTGATATTCCTGTATCTTTTCTCCATATGCTGATCACTGAACTTTATTGTAATACAGGTATTCTGTCCTTAATGGCTCTGTATGGGTGTACATGACTGAGAGAGTATAAAAACTGCTGGTAGATGAATTGAAGCTTTGCAGCGAGTTCATCTCTGCTAGACCGGTAATGCATTATTGTGAGTCAACCGCGGGAACCTGGGATAGACAATAAAGACGCAAAGGTTCATAACGATTGATCTTTCCTACGACCCCGAGTTTTATTTCCTCTTCTCAAATTGAGATTCCGGGATTCTGACACAGTGAACCGCGCTTGCTCTACATACGAAGGCTGCACTGAGCCACTCATGACCAGCTCACACCGTCTTGCCAGAAACGGGAGACCATATTAGAGCTCTCCTCAGCACTCGGGTGGGATCTAACTGAATAGCTGGGAAATGTGTTTCTTGACTGGTCTGGCACAATCAAACACAAAACCTTAGCCTTGATTGCAGCAGAACAGTTATATTGTATATTTTAGTGCAGCTATTCTTCACATGCTTTAAAGGGAACCAGAACAAGGCAGTGTGTGCAAGAGAACCCAGGACAGGAAATGCAAGAACAACTCATGCTTATAAAAGAAGGAGAAAGTCTCCTGAACATTATTGATAGATGAGGCTGAAAATAGCCTCAAAGTGGGGGGTGGGAGGTGCCTGCAAAGGTCAGGACAGAAGGACACACCTTGGCTTTTTATTTCAGAGAATTAAAGGCAACGCTTTGATCACATCACAACCGTACCTAAGTTTTCTGTAGGCAGCCTTATCATGTTCCAGTCTGCAGGAAACAGGCAAAACAAACAGGTTTAATTAAGGTGTGCAAATGCTTACAGAGCCTTATCACTCTAGCCAGAGTTTCCCCACTTCCGTTCAAAAGGGTTTTCTCTGTTGCATCATAGAGAATTTTATTATTCCAAATAAATCTGCATGGTACCCAAGTGCAAGAAATCAAAGGTCACCACAATTTTGAAAATTCGTCTTTCTCCGACGGAAGCACCGCTGCGTGCAGTGGAGCACATCCAGGTAAAATACTGTCCTGTGCTAAAGAAAACTGAACTAGGCTAGCTAGCAGCACAGAATACCCGCTTATCGCTTATTGAACCTAATCCACCCTTGCGCACGGCACACCTACTTGCTAACTACTTTATCTGAAAGGTACAGGGTATACCCCGACCCTCTCAGAGTCACGCAGGCATGACCATGTGAAACCAAAAACAGGAACAAGGTGGTGATAGAGATGCACAAGAAGCACGAGCGCAAGGTCAGGCAGGGAAGATAACATGACTAAGAGGCCTGCAAGACCCGGATACCAGCGACGATTAGGGGTGGTCAGCAGAAACTGTGGCAAGAGACGTGCCGAAGACATACGTTAGTACTTTTCCAGAGATAAAGAAATGCTATAAAAAGGCTTGTAATACCGTACATAGGGACCGCACTTTACTAAAGTGTTGGTCCCTGCGCAGGTACAATAAAGGAGTTTCTTCTCTCCACTCTGGTCTTGTGGTCTGTTTGCCAAGGACTGACAAGGCGTCCGTTGGGATATAACATTTGGAGGCCCCAGCAAGATTCGAGACCAGCGGTCTGGCCTCCTCCGACTCCAGGGACAGGCCCTATAGCCGTTTTTTTAGCCTCTGCCCCGGCTCGGTGGGACGTCTGACTAGCCGAGAGAGGAGTAATCGGTAAGTGCGCACGGCGGTTACCCGCCATCTGTTCTGTTCTGAATATCTGCAGATCTGGTATTGGAAAGAAAGGCCTGCTGGACGCAGCGTACGGGCCACTTTCCGGTCTGGGAGTGAGACGTCGTTCCCCGGCCTCAGTTCCTGTTTAGGTTGTGTATTTGTTTAGATTGTCTGTTTTGTCGTCTGTCTTGTTGATGTTTTGTCATCTGTCTTGTTGGACTGACACTTGGAATTCTCAGTATGGTTTATGTCCTGTTCTATTGTTGCTGTCTGTGTTTTCTGTCTTGTCTGTTTGTAAAGTGTGCCCCTTTCTGGGAGATAAGCATAGGCCAGAGTGGGTTTTGGGGGTTTCTCAGGAAATAGAAACTCCGCACGCAGCCGCACCAATCTGTCCTCTTCAGGGCAGGGTTGAAAGCAAGGGTGTGGATGGGTGTTCTTGCCCCTGAGATGAGAATGTGTGAACCTGGCTTTGTTTGAGATACAGATTCATGAGGTCATTGGCCTGAGCCCAAGCTTGGCTGAGTCCGGCTGGGAAAAAGGTGATGATCAGGGAAATGTGTGTGTGTGTGATTTTTTCCTTCCCCCATTCCTTCTATCTGAGCCAGAACTGGGAAGTAAGGAAATATGTGGCCCTTGAATTGGGCTAACACAGGTCCTACCCAGTTTTCTGGATATCCTCAATAAGCTTATCCTGTGTGAAAGCCCTGTATGAAAGAGGGGTTATATAGAAACATTTTTATGCAGGTCCTTTCCTTGTCAGAAACCAGGAACACTGTTTTAATGTCTTTAATGCAAGTGTTTCTGCCTCTTGCATTAAATGCAAGTTTTTCTGCCTTATAGCCCTCCTAGGTAGGAAGATTTTCTTGTTAGATTAAATAATGGTATTTGAAATTCCAGGAGGGGATGCTGATGGGCAGATGAAAGAAGGAAAAAAAACTGCTTTTTTTGCAAGTTCCTGGGGAGGATTTTACGGTTCTGGGATCACTTTTGGGTTGTATCTTGGACCAAGGGAGGTGAAACTACATCTGAGGGGCTGCAGAGGCTAAATGGATATTGCTGGAGTATGTTTGTGAAGGAAGGCATGGAAAGAAAGAGGATTTGTTCAGGAGGAAACACGTGCAAAAAGAAAGCACTGTGGTGTGGTTGTAATTTCATGGGGTTTGGATTGGAATTTTGTAGATGTTGTAAGTAGAAAGTAAAGGCAAGTGAGCAGATGGATTGTGGAAATGAAAGAAAAGGAAGGAAAAGTGAAGCAAAGATGCAGAAAGGAAGGGTTTTCTTTTATGTGATGAGGAGGTTTTGGAGAAATAGTGGAAATTGGTTGGTTTTTTCCTCCCCCTGTTGAACTTGCAGCAGTTTGGAATGTGAGGTGGGAGTGAAAGGCAAAAATATTTTTATTCTGGATGTTGTGTGTATGCCATGTGAGAATGAGAGTGACAGGAATTCCTTGATTCAGGGGGTGCATGGTGCTTGGTATGTGAGAGAATTTTAAGAGTTTTGGTAAATGGTGATTTGGTACTTTTTCTACTGGAAAAAAAAATATGGGAAGAAATGTGTACCTTTTGGAGTAAAGACAAGAAAAACAAATGAGAAAAAAGGGGAATAGTCTACCTTGCTAAGAGCACTCCCATTATTTAAAGAGACAGTAACTGCAGCCTCTTCTCTGGGTTTGGTCTGGCCAACTGAATTCAGGAGGGATTTGTGCTGGAAAATTTGGATTTCTTGACTCTGTGGGCTTGGCTATTCCACAGAGCCAAGAAAAGGGGGGGGGGTGCACTGGCAGGAAGATACCACAAACACCACTTTGTGAGTACTGCAAAAACAGCACACACAGCCTCTGAGCATGTGCAGAGTTCAAAGTACTTTGGGAAGTTTGAGCAGCTCTGCTTCCAGCCACAGATTGGAGGCGGGCTTGCACTAGTTCTCAAAAGAAAGTCTTTGAGTCTCTAGAAAACTCTCAAAAGAAATCTTGGTGTCTTGAAAATAAATAAAAGTTGTGTAACTGAGGTAAGGCATTTGAGGTCCTCTGAGTGTTCAAAGCTTGTATTGCCTCAGGAAAAATTCTGCCTGGGAAGGGTTGGGTTAAAACAAAGACCCTTAAGCAGTCTCAATGAGTCACTAGGGATTTTTTTAGGAAGGGAATCCTTCCAAAAAGCAATGTTGTGAGCATGTGATTTGTGTCGGCCATCAAGAGTTTTCCCTCTCCAATAACTTCTATTTTTCTATGCAACATGGATCTGGGTCTTATATGTGTGTGTGGGTATAAGTTCTGAATTCTGAGTATACCATTTTGTTATTTGCTATGTTACAACTGAAGGATTGGAAGGGAATGGATGAAACTCTGGGGCTGCGTATGTGTGTGCATGCATGCGCATGCAGTGGGAAGAGTTTCTTTTCAAAATCTATGAGGCTACTTTTCCCTTTGGTGTTCAACAGAAAGTTTTGTTTCCTTTTTCCTTTTGCAATGTTGCCAAATATTAATGATAGTGATATTGCTGTTACTGTTGTTACTGGTATTGATGGTGCTAAAAAAAAAATTTCCCTTACAGTAGCCTAATGTTTGTTGGGGACTGAGCCCATTTGCCAGCCCAAGGATGTGGGCAGCTGAAATGGCAAGTTCTCAAAACTTCTTTCCATGAACATA